TTCATTTTCTTAATTGTGTCCTTTGATAAGCAGCATTGAATCTAAAGATCAACTGGGGAGAACTATTATTTTTACATTATCGAGACTTCAAATCCATAAACATGCCCCTATTTACATCTTTAGTTCCTCTAGCCCTATTCCTTTATTAGGCTGAGATTTCTTAGAAAAATATGCTAGAATTTCTTCCAAAGAGGGAAATAATTCTAAAATTTGATAGTAGTAACCAAAATAGTCAACCAAGCAAATTAAATGATCCTCTGACATCTTTTGTTCACTCCATCTCTGATGGCACGATAGCGGAGTTTGGGGACAATGATCAGTTGCCCCTATTGGACCAGCTATCACCCTTTTTATGGACAAAATCTTCAACTGGTGTTGGTAGAATCTACAGTACACCTCCAATCAAGATTCAAACAGATCTCTCAAAACCTCTCCCCAGAATTAATACCCTATAAATAAGGAAATCTTTCAAGGCATCAAGCCCATATATAAGATTACAAGACGGGGATCCCTGGGTGGCTCGGCGGTTTAGCGCCTGCCTTGAGCCCGGGGTGATCCTGGAGTCCCAGGATGGAGTCCCACATCGGGCTCCCTGCATGGAGCCTGCTTCTCCCTCTGCCTGTGTCTCTGCCTCTCCCTCTCTCTGTGTCTCTCATGAATAAATAAATAAATAAAATCTTAAAAATAAAAATAAGATTACAAGACTCAGTGCTATATCATTCCTTGCACTAGTCCCTGCAATACCCCTATTTTCCTGTGAGAAAACCCAATGTCCAATGATAAAGGTCTATCCAGGACCTCTAAGCAATAAGTAACACTGTTATTCCCTCAGCACCTGACTTTTCCTAACCCCCTCATACTACTGACACCAACTGCCACTGAAAGCAACTTTTTATTATAATTGATCTTTGCAGTGCATTTTTTAGTATTCTAGTTGATAAAAGTATTTTTGCTTTCATTTGGGAAGAATGGCAATACGCCCGGATAGTAATGTTCCAGGGTTACACAGAGTCTCCTTTTCACAAACCTTTAAATTGGATGATATAAAGTTTCCTGTAGGTTCTACTTTGTTACAATACACAAATGATTGCTTCTCTGCTGTCTTTCTCAAACCTCTTCACAGGAAGACAACATCTACCTGTTGTAACTTTTGGTCTTTTCTACCTCTGAGACCAATAATACATTATATGTTAATTAGCTGAATTTAAATAAAATTAAATGATAAATAATAAATTAAAAAAACAAAAACTTTTGATCTTAAAGGGACATAAAATCTCCAAAGAAGGGATGCCTGGGTGGCTCAGGATGTGATCCCAGGTCTGGGGATTGAGTCCCGCATCAGGCTCCCTGTGAGGAGCCTGCTTTTCCCTCTATATCTCTCCCTCTCTTTCTGTGTGTCTCTAATGAATAAATAAATAAAATCTTTAAAAAAAAAATCTCCAAGGAAAAACTACAGTTGGCTCAAACCCAGGTTATTGATACTTAGGGCACTTGATCTTGAAATAAGGACTACATTTAGATCCAGAATTCATGGCATTCTGAACTTCCCAAAATCCAACCCAAAGCAACAATTACAAGGTTTTTTTGGCCAGGTAGCTGCTGTTGAAATTGATTCCAAACTTCTCTTATGATTCAATCTCTATATGCTTTACTTGAAAATAACAAACTTGACCCTACTATTTGGAAAGATAAGCTTTTGGGACTTTAGAGAAAAACCTAATAAAGTCCCCTGCCTTCAGATGTCCTAATTATCAACTTCCCTTTGTATATGAAAAGGAAGGGAATAATACCCTTAGAGTACTCACCCCAAAACAGGGAGACCCTCATCAACTCATAGTGTATTAGAGCTAACAACTGGACCCTGTAGCACAGGGATATCCACCTCACCTCAGAGTCATTCCAGCCACTGCCTTTGTGGATAAGGCAACTGAAGGAATAGTCAGGGGATCCCATCTTTGTGCCCTATGCATAAGAAGCCTTCCTTAATTCTCATTACACTCAACACTCTTTAGTCATTTTGTCTCCTATGAAACCCTCCTGTAACTGGTCCTCATACAATTCTTTTTCACTATAGTAACTTTAATCTGGCTATTCTCCACAAACATTTATACCAAATGCCAAATATAGCCAGTATGCCTTTAGGGTAGCTGAATACTTTGAAAATGTTATGGAAACAATGAGGTTTCCTTACCCCTGACGGGGATAAATTAAAAATGGCTCCTATGTCCAGACCTTATTAGATGCCATATTTTTGTTGGCCGCTCTGGCTATTAAGGTCCTGGGCATTCTAAACTTGACTCCCTGGACGCCAAAGGAAACCACCTTGCTGATATTTCTGCCAAAAATGCTGCTCTCAAGGAAATCAATAGCCAAACCTCTGTGATGGTCCAAAGGAATAGTATCTCAAATGATAATCTTGAAAAACTGACCAGAGACATCCAACAATAGGCCCCAGAATAGGAAAAAAAAAATTGGAAACCTAATAATTGTTCATTTGATAAAAAGAAAAAAAACTTGCTGGGACCAAATAACAATCTGACCCTACCAGAAATTTTAAAAATTCCACTATTTACCACTGTACATGCATTAAATCATTGGTCTACTAACAAAATGATAGTGTTTATGAACAAATATTGGTGGGGAAATATTAGTGAGGTACCTATACCTCACTTGCCCCACCTGTCTAAAACACAATGCAGGGAAATCTGTCTGCATGGCTCTCCAACACTTTACATTACCTCAAAGACTATTCAATTTTCACAAATGGATTTCATACAGCTTCCCCATCTAATGAATATAAATATGCTTTGGTCATGGTTTGTATGTTTCCTCACTGGACTAAAGTCTTCTTTTGTAGACTGGCTTCCCCCTCTTCTGTGACCAAAATTCTGTTAGAAAAAACTTAACCCTACTTGGTGAACCCCTCTTGAACTTCAGTGATTGGGGAGCCCATTTTATCAGTTAGATGCTTTAACAAGTCTGCTGTTTGGCTAGTTTTACAACACTTTTACTGTGCATCCAATCATCAATCCCCAGGGTCAGTTCAACACACTAGTAAGACTCAATTGACAAAATTTGTAGAGACCCTCTAAATTGGCCTAAAGACTCAATTGGCCTAATGCACTGCCTTTATTACTTCTAAATCTCAGACCTGCTCCCTTGGGAACTCATAGACCTTTCACTGTTTGAGACACTCACAGAAAATCCAGTGCACTTGGTTCCTGATTCCTTTGATCCACAGTTGGTAAAAGGAGATATATTTCAATATTGTAAAAGCCTAATTGTTTCTATTAAAAGCAACCATGCTTTGGTAGAGTGATCTTTTCACAGTGCACTCCCAGGAGACAACGACCTTAGGCACCACACCTTGCAACTTGGGGATCGAAAGACTCCAAGAGTCCAGAAAGACTCTCTTCAACTTTGCTGGAAAGCTCCCTACCCTGGACTGTTAGCCAACCCTTTTGCACCACACCTAAGGGAATGAACTCTTGGATTCATATGACACATCTAAAGAAAGCATCAAACTCTGACTGGACCCGAGCACTATATGATCAGAAAGATTTACTGGAATTGAAACAGATAACATCAAAAAAAAAAAAAAAAAAAAAGAAAGAAAGAAAGAAACAGATAACATCTGATGACAGAGTTTTCACAAGATGTCTGGACCAGGCCTGTTGAAAGGTTCAGGATTCATGAAGTCTTTCTTTTCCATCTGGACTATTAACTGACTCTGGATTCTTGTCCAAAATTCATGGTTTCTGAATTTTCAACTTTACCATATTATTAACAACACACTTGGTTCCAACAAGTTCTTTTGAGATAATATTTTTTAAAAAGTCTTTGAAGTTTTGCTTTCACAAAAAGTTAACCAGCTATTGCTTCATGTTTATACTGACACTGTTTCTTCTCAAATGCACTGGGTTAATAATCCTTTCCGTGTGCTCTTGCAGTCATCGCTGTTCTGCTTTCGTGACCGATTTAAGGAGGGACTTCCAGGAGGCATACATGACTCTGGGTTTGCCTCTCTAAGGGGAACTTTTCTCTCCTAAGTTGGAGTAAGTGCCAATATTTTTAATTGGCTACTTTCAGATCTAGGATCCTGGTTTAGAACCATCCAACAATTTGGAATTGTCCCCTTACTTTTGAATCTGTACCTGTTGACTGTCAAATCTTTGTAAAAAAAACAAAAACAAAAAAACGAGGTACCCGATAAGATGATCTTCAATGCTTACAATCTTGATAAATACGGACTACAGAGGGGAACTGCCTGAAAGTTCTCCCAATACCCCTCCTTGTTACTCAAATTTTACCTCAAAAGGTTTCCAGTTTGTACAATTTGGCTCCAGAGTGGAACAGGATATGCAGGAAAGATCCGTCCTGGCACTGAGTGGCAAAAAGGTCACTGACCAGAAAAATCTGACTCTTCATCAGCGATGTGTTTAGACAAAAGTCTCGACCAAACGGAGGAAATGCGAAAATTAATAAAGGGGAAACTTCACTAGAGTGGAGTAGGGAGGAGAGAGAGGGAGGCTCAACGGGGAATTTATGCCACCGAACGTCAATTCTAGGAAGAACTGTCAATCACAGACCCCGACAGAAGAATTTCAACAGGAAAGAGTCATTAATCACAGCTCCCAAGAGGGAAAGATAAACACTGCGTCTCCTACAAAATAGAGGACACCCCTGCAACTCAGCCAAGGAGAAATCGTCACCACCTTTGACCTCAACTGACTGTTCTCCCACCGACTCTGGGTCAACCTACCCCTTCCCAACGTCTTCCTCCTTCTCCATAAAATAGCTCCTCTACTTTGTTGGACTTACCTGTGGTTTTGCCCTACCTTGCACGCAGTGGATTGCACGGCTTGGTCAGCCCCCAGTAAGCCCATCTTTGCTAGGAAAATAACGGACTGTTATTTTAAAGGACAACTTAGTTATCTATTCTCCTTGCTCACAAAGCGACCCAAGAAACAGCAATGGGGTGGGGGACGGTAGATACCTACGGCATTTCGACATTCAGGAAAGCACCACCGCCGGAGAGAAGGAACCGAGCAGCCTCTTCCTAAAGCAGAGAACCTTCGCGGGGGTTAAAAACTGGCGCCTGAAAAGCGCGGGCCCGGCGGGCGCCAGTGCCGGTGTCACACGCAAAGTGGCCCGCTGGAAACACCGTCCCGGCTTCGAGGGATCCGACTGTAAGGGGCGGGAGGGAGGAGAGAAGAATCTAGTTAAGGACCTAGGACCTCATCCCGTCCCTGCCAGTGCTACACAGCGCCCTCCTCCACTCCGGCCATTCCGGACCCCGACAGACTAGCGGCACAGCCCTTGGCCCTCTCCGGATTTACGTCCCTCGATTTCTACCCGGACTGTTTGGGGAGGTGCTCCGACTCTTATTTCCGGTGGCGGAGAGGCGCAGTTGCCATGGTGATTCAAGGAACGGCCGAGGTTGGTCCGGCTGTTGGTGCGGGGACCGCGGAATCCGTGGAGGGAACTGGCTGCGCTTCCTCGCGTGTGAGCTGGAATGAGGTAGCGGACGCTGTCTCTGTCTCGGCGCCGCACCCCGCCCGCCTCGGCTTGTTTTGTTTTTTTTTTTCCTCTCTCAGCTGCTACTTTTACTTCTCTGTCATACTAACGCCGCGGTCGCGGTTGTGGTGCTAAGAGAGCTCCCGAAGCACAGAGAGGTTGCCCGAGGCGAGCCGCGAGCCTGTTTCACCGTGCGGGGCCGGCTCCTGGGCGCCGCTGCTTTCACTTGGCCCTTCAGAAGCCGTGGGCGCTGGCGAACAGTTTATTTTTCTTGCTATTGTGCGGCGGGTTATTTATGGAGCCGTTTGCTGCCATGTGCTCTCGGGGCTCCCGGCGGGGTGGGGGAGGGGGGGCGGGGAGGCCCCTGTTGCGGCCTGGGGCTGGGGTTTTAAATGAAGGAGGTTCCCAAACCTGAGGGGTGCAGTTATATATTTATTGAAGCTTCCGTTTAGTCTCTCGTCACACACACACACAAAAGGGGAAAGCATAGAATTTCTGGAACATTTTTCTACTGTGGGATTTCCATGGGAGGGAATCCCCTTTTTTTTGCAAAGAGTTATTTCGAGGACGGTCCTAAAAAAAAAAAAAAAAAAAAAAAGAACTTAAAAATTGTTTGCAAATTTGTTGCAAAATGAACACGTATTCTTCCTTTCTTTTCGGAACAGTTCCCCTCCCCCCGGCCCCCCGCCTCTTTGGTGAGGAGCTGCGCGCACGCATATGTGTTTAAAACTGATGCTTAATTACAGTGATATCAATTTGCAGGAAGCAGACTGTGACACCTCATCCCTATGGGGTCCTTCTAAATCTGGTGTAATATGAAAGTGTCAGGCAGGCAGTCTGTGTATTATAAATAGGGTACTTCATCCATGATAAGCGATTATTATCTTTCTTTCCCAAGTGTAAAAGACCTATATAATTCAAGAAGGTGCAAGTGATTTAGGCCTCCTGAGTAAGAATCCAATGAGTCCTGAAGGGGACCCTACCTGTGTCGTCTTATTGTTGAACTTGAAATATTCAATTTATTAGGTTGAAATGTATTTTTAGAAGTCAAAGCTGGGTAAAATAATGCTGGAAGCTGTTAGACCACCAGCACAATTTAGTGCCTCATAGCTAACTGTTGTACAAGAAGCCTTCATTCACGTTAATAAAGAAGAAACTGTTATCAAAATTTACTGCCTCTTGATACTTAACCGCTAGCTGGGTGACATCTCTGTCCCTCAATTTCCTTACCTGTAAAAGGGACAAAAGATACCTGGCCGCAGTGATAAGGATACATTAAGATATAGGATAGTTCTTTAAGCCTTATGAGATGAGGTGCTATGTAACCCCACACATTATTAGTAACAAATGCAGTAAAATCTCAGGATAATGCTATAAATGGGATCCAAAAAAAGTCATTCAAAATGTGCGTCTGCATTATTGAGATGTTGGTGAAATGACCTGGTTGATACTGCTGAGGTGATGGCCAACTCCCAGTCACATTACATCCAAATTCTCATTATTGCTGCTGTTCCACTCTTTCAAAGTTTATTTAGCACTTCTTATGTGCAAGGCACTGTTCTGTATGCTTTACACATATTTAATCCTCATGACAACCCTATGAAGACTTAACTTACTGTCCTCTCTCTTTAGAAGATTTTATTTATTTATCTGAGAGTACAAGAACAAGAGCAAGCACAAGTTGGGAGGAGGGCAGGAGAGGGCGAAGCAGGCTCTCCACTGAGCTCGGTCCCAAGACCCCAGCATCATGACCTGAGCTGAAGGCAGATGCCTAACTGACTGAGCTGCCCAGGTGCCCCAACTTACTATCCTCTTATTTTGAGAGTATTGCTGTGTGCTTTGCCTTTGCTCTATGATACTTCTTTTGCATTTATATTACAGCTTTGCTTTGGCTTTATTCTTGTTCTCCTATATATATTTTTTCTATATGTATTTCCACTCAGTTGATTTCTATGTTTCTATATACTAGATATTTGATATATACATGTATATTTATATATATATAATATAAAAACTGGCAAAGTCTTATTCTAATTTAGCATATAATAATACAACTGTATGCATATTATGTCTTTTTTCCACACATGAAAACTTTTTTGATTCCCCTTCCCCCCATTTGAATGGCAAGATAACATTGACATTTTAGGGGATTAACACTGACTAAAATTTTTAAATCCTTTTCTAATAGAATGGCCATCAGTCCAGGAAGAGATGCATCTTTCTCCAGTCAGAAGTCAGCGCTTTCAGAAAGTCCTCGAACAAAGAGATTTCCACTAACTGAAGAAGAGATATTTTATATGAATTGTAGAGCTGCCTACTTAACTGTTTTTAAAAGCAGCTTAGAAAACATTATTTCTAAAGAACAACTTTACTTGGGTAAATTTTTCCTTAAAATATATGTATTTTGCCTTGTTTGTTGAAAGTTAATAGATCAGAAAGACAGGAGTAAGAATTACATTGTTACATCATCCTAATTTCTTAGGGAAGCTTGAGCAGTGGAACTACATTATGCTTTTGTGCATTTTATATATTCATATATTCTGGTAGCTTCAAAATAAAACATTCAATGTTTATACAGACTAGATTAGTATTTTTAGAGCTTCTATCAATTACTTGCTTAAAAATATTTTTTAAAAAATTCTTATTTGGAAAAAAAATTCTTTTTTTTTTTTTTTAATTTTTTTTTTTTATTTATTTATGATAGTCACAGAGAGAGAGAAAGAGAGGCAGAGACATAGGCAGAGGGAGAAGCAGGCTCCATGCACTGGGAGCCCGATGTGGGATTCGATCCCGGGTCTCCAGGATCACGCCCTGGGCCAAAGGCAGGCGCCAAACCGCTGCGCCACCCAGGGATCCCAGAAAAAAAATTCTTATTTGGTAACTTGAGATTTATAATAGAATTTTTTTTAAGGTTTTATTTATTTATTCATGAGAGACACAGAGAGAGGGAGAGGCAGAGACACAGGCAGAGGGAGAAGCAGGCTCCATGCAGGGAGCCCGATGTGGGACTTGATCCCAGGACTCCAGGATCACACCCCCGGCCAAAGGCAGGCACTAAACCACTGAGCCACACAGGGATTCCCTATAATAGAGTTTAAAACACTTGGCATCTGAATCACTGGCCTGAATTTGACCTATGCTGGGGAAAATGTAAAGAATATATAAAAATGGGTTGAATGATTATAAAAGATAAATATTAGGAAATAAGTAAAATTTTAAAAGAGTTGGCTTTTTGTTTGTTTTTAGTGGGTGGAGAAGTTGGGTCTTTTTTTGCTTCTCTTTATGGTCATATCTAAAATTTCTCTGGTTGCAAGCATCCCTCAACCCAACGAATTTTGTCCTTGCCAGATATATCAAGTGACTTGGAGGTCTTTACTCTCAAGAGAATGTAAACAATACCAGATAATACTGAATACTCATGTCAGTTTCATCAAGGCTAATAACTTTATGAATTGAGAAACAGTTGTTTTGCCAACTGTTACAAGCGATTTCCTTAAAGAAAAATTCTGATATATTTTTGCAATAATGTCTTGGGTTAGTATGCAATAAGATCTCATTTGAGGAAGTCCATATTGGGGAATATGAAAATTGCAAAGATTAAAATTTATATTTTATTATAAACTATAATTTTAGATTTTTAAAAATTTTTTTGAAAGTAGTCTGAGATCATGAATCTCCTGTTTAAAAGTTTAGCCTGACTTTCATTATTATGGCATTTAGTTTGCGAATCAATGAGTATACGAATTACTAAGGTGCTCTCAGTCTTAGAGAATTATCTGGATTATTCAGTGTTTATCTCTTTAGTGTGTAATAATTGAGTTCAGATAATCTAGAGTTTTATAAAGTAGAGTGAAGCAGTGATATCTTTCTTATTACTATGTCTTTCATCTGTATCTTTCTGCCACTTATGCATATAACATATGCTTTGACTTTCCATTTCAAGGTTGGATAGAACAGTACCATTACTAGAGGTTTATAGTTTCTTTTTTTTTTTTTTTCTTTAACTTACAGATAATACAGGTACTATAGACTCATGTCAAAGCTTAAAGTAAACCCTAGCAAAAGATTGGTATTTTGGTGTAAGCCTTTAAACATTTATAGTTACAGGTTTTTACTATTATTAGACATAATAATGGGCACCAAGTAATTCTAAAAGTAGAAATTTAGTTAGATTAGTAATTACTAAGTTATACCTTAGTATAGTTTCTTAGTATAGTTTCTTAGATATGACACTGTCTACTTACTGAGTACATGTTTAGGCATAATCAATTTTATTCTGAGAAAGTTGTTTTGTAATTAATAGTATATTTAAAAACTGTTTTTGTTTTTTTGGGAGGGGGAGCAGGAGAGGGAGAGAAAATCTTAAGCAGGCTCCATGCCCACCACAGAGCCCAGTGTGGGGCTTGATCTCAGAACCTTGAGATTATGACCTGAGCCGAAATCGAGATTTGGATGCTTAACTGAGTGAGCCACCTGGGTGCCCCAAACCCCATTTTTGTTATTGAACATAGCATCAAGTGTATGCTGACTGCCACTTGTGGGAAAGAGTTACACACCCATTTTCCCAAAGCTGTACAGAAAATAACATTTTCTTTTTTTTTTCTTCTAAAGATTTATTTGTTTTAGAGAAAGAGTGCATGAGTAGGGGGAGGGGCAGAGGGAAAGAATCTTCATGCCTACTCGCTTCTGAGTATGGAGCCAACATGGGG